TTATAAATTAAAATATATTTTATGGAAAACATGCACGAAAAAATTATTTCTTATACTTGTTCGATATAAAATTGCGCCTTCTTTGAATTCTTTACTCAAACAAAGGGTAGCTTTCGGTTTTAAAAAAGTTGCTGATTATGAGCTTTTTTACAATTGCGGGGTCTTTAATTATCATACATCGTATCCGTCACTTTATTAGGGCTGCCTATACTGCATAAAGTATATTCCAAATCTATTTCAATATTTTATGACTACTATGTGACTTCTTCCGTAAACTGTAGGCGAAACTGTACATTTCCTTAAACAGGATACACACAGTGCGCAGATTTAAAACCTTGAATTCGAGTACAGCAGTCAATAGTTAAGAAAATTATTCGGCGATTGAGCAACTTTTTTAAAACCGAAAGCTTCCCTTTGTTTGAATATAAAATTTAAAGAAGGCGTAATTTTCTATCAAACACGTACAAGAAATAATTTTTAAAATTTGAAGAAGGCGTAGTTTGCTACCAAACGAGTACAAGGAATAATTTTCCATTTAAAGTAGGCGTAATTTTTTATCAAACAAGTACATGAAATAATTATTTTGTGTAAGGAGGCGCAATTTGTTATCAGATAAGTACGAGAAAGGACTTTTTCGTGTACCATAAAATATATTTTAATTTATAAAGGCAGTCAAAATCAATGATAAAAAGGCCTACTACTTAAGTAGCCAGTTGTTACAATATATACGTTTCACTAGTGGTCAGACCAAAGCTCGTTAAAAAGCCCGCATCCTATCCTGACTGAAATGACTTCAGAATACACTACAGGATAATCAATATCATAACTTGAAACAATGCCGATTAGCGAAAGAGTATCAGTCTTTCGCATATGTCGAATTGTTGCATGATCTTTGGCGTCTACTGTATAAACATGTACAAATTTTAGCTGCAGGTATGGTCAATATGTCCGTGAGAGCATTCAGTTGTTTATTGTATGCATAATATATCCAACAAAAATATGTTACTATAAAGTAGTCAGTAACATATACATATTTACAAGTTTTATCTATAAGTTTGTCTAATAGGTGGATGACTACCGCTTCCTTGTGCGTATGAACGGTATCTGTTAAGTAAATGTCCATCCATTTTGCGTTTGTATGCATCTGTGGAGTTTGCCATTACGAACTCCTCGGGCAGTCCGTTCCAAGAACCGATGACTCGTTGTGAGAACGAATGTCTGCGGACATCCAGACGGGTTAAGTTTCCCTGGAGTTTGGGAGAATTCCCACGGAGGTTAGTTGATGTGGCGAACGTGAAGTAGTCATCAAACTGAAGGGCACAGTCCCGATTCCTCACGATATTGTACGTCTCTATGAGATCACCTCGGATTTGCCTGTACTCAAGAAAAGAAAAGGTTAAGTGCTTCTAGTCTACATTTGTAAGATGAAAACTTTGGGCCCTTCACGATTTTTATTGTCCTCCTCTGTACTCTTTCCATCAGCTGGTAGTCCTTTTGCAGCCATGGGCGCCACGCCTGAACTCCATATTCGAGATGTGAACGAATAAATGTCCCGTCTATTTTGCCTAATAGTTCTTTATCGATGTCGACAAAAGTCCGCTTAATGGCTAACAGAACACTTTTCGCCCTCTTGGCAGCCCTGAAACACTCAAAGACGACTTCAGGGAGTGCACAATAGCAATTTCTAAGTCTCTTTGTTCGGTAACGTTCGACAGGAACCTGCCATCAAGTATGTAGTTGTGAGAGCCCTCTGTCGCGCTCACCCTCTTAGTTTTGAGCCGCAATTTGACACACTTTTCAAAGTTAAACCGCATTAATAATTTTTTGGACCATTCACCTAGGCGGTCAAGTCCTTTTTGCAGAGTTTGTTCACCAAAAGTGTTTCTGATGGGTTGCCATATCTTAATATCATCTGCAAACAGGACTCCATTGCTGACGAGTCCATGCTTATAGTCATTGACTTAGATAACGAACAATAATGGCCCAAGAACGGAGCCCTGAGGCACTCCACTAACAATTGGCACTGAAGAGGATTTCGCGTTTCCAACGCACACGGACTGCGATCTGCCTATGATGAAATCAACTACCCAATTTAGCTAATTCTCCCTTATCCCGCATTCCCCAACCTTGTAGAGTAGCCGTTGATGTGGGACACTATCAAAGGCGTTTTTAACATCTATATAAACAAAATCGACAGTGGTATTCTCGTCTAATGACTTGGACCACTGCTCCATTGAATAAAGCATATTCGTCAGGCAGGAGTGGCTCCCTCGAAATCCGTGTTAGGCACCGTCAAAGAAATCTTTTCCTTCGAGAAACTTCATGGTTGCCTTTTAAATAATAATTTCCATTACTTTGCAACAAGTGAAAGTTAGTCTCACTGGTCGATAGTTGTTTGCGCTGGTTCTGGATCCACCCTTGTGAATAATGCATATGTTCGCGAATTTCCAATCGGATGGGAGGAGGCCTCGATCAAAGGACAGCTGAAAAGTGTGCGTAAGTGGTCTGTAAAATTCCGAAGCCAGTTCTTGCAGTACTTTTTTGTTATTTTGTCTGGACCCGGAGACTTAGCTTCATTAAGCGCAAGAAGTTCCTTCCTCACATTTTCTCTGAAATGGAGGTCCTCCATGATTCTGCCATTACTCTCTGCATGGAAGTCTGTCAGATAAAATGCAGTTCCTCAGTGAAAACAGATGCAAAAAACTTACTAAGGTGTTCTGCCTTTTCAGGATTGCCAATAATTTCTTCGTTATTTCACCTTTCAGTACGGCGACTGTGTCTTCGTTTTTAGCCTGCTGTTGATGTAGCTGAAGAGCACTTTTTGCTTAGTTACGGCCCGCTCGATAACTTTCGCTTCATATTCTTTCCGCGATTTTCGAATGCTCGACCTTATCTCTTTCCGCTTTTGGCGGAATTCGTCG